ATATCATATAGAGTTGAAAGGTTCTCATTTATTTGCTGTTGAAACATTAGCTGAGCTATACCACATCCATTACTGTGGGCTGCTCTCATTCTCTCTCGCTTGTACTGTTTGTCTCCATTTCTTATCTTGAGTGAAACAAAATAAGAGCATCAAAAGAGGTTCTATTCATATACGATTATCAGAAAAGCATGTAGAATGCATAAAAAGACAAAAATCTGCTAATGTTATGTTTTTTTCTTAGTTCAAGCCACAAGTGTTTTGTGTTTGTTACAGACTGACTCATATTTGCAAACAAAATCAAAGTACTGATGCTTTCACACACATTATACAATCCTATCTACATAAATAAAAAGTACATTTTGCAAGTTATACTATTTGTTCACACTAGCAACATAAAAAATAAAGTCATTACATGTGATACAAAAAAAACATTACTATATATTAACTTAAATTAAAGTTGTCCTGTTTGATATTTGATGAGTCACCTAAATTGAGCCGAATGACAAAACAGATTTTTCCCCCTGCAAGGTAAGTACTACCACATTTGTGGTTTTATTTATCTAAACCTTTCACCAATCAAATTTCATATGGGAGTAAATAATTGGGAAATAACTAAACACTGGTTTTAATTTGGCAATTTTAGTACTTTTGATTTGATCCTTATTTTCAACATATTGTAAGATGTCACAGCACAATGTCCACTAAGTACTGTTCTGTTTGGACTTCAATAAAACCAGTGAAGTGACATCAGGACTACTGCCCAAACTCTGGTCTTCAGCATACACTATCTTTCATGTTTAGTTATGTCTGTACTCAAGAATGCCCAATTTCAAATAACCACATTAAATCCTCAACATACAATCAAGTGACATAGAAGCTTTTTGATATTCAGTCATTAAAATCAAATATGTGTCAGCATGGACAAACCTAAAGCAGAGTAGTGGGTGGTGACCAGCAAGGCCGGGAGCCACAGTGTAAGACTATTCACACTGCTATTCCAGCTGCTGCAATGTTAGAATAACATCTTTATGCAGTCAACAGATACTTTAACAGAAACTTTTAAACACAATAAAACTCCTATCAAAGCATTTAAACTAAATCATATTGATTTCTCTTGGGTCCCAGTGGATGCTAATTTTATCAGACATGCCACACCAAGAATTCTGCAACTGTTTTAGTGGAAAAAAAAAAAAAAATCTCCCATCAGGCCACATCTGCCATTCTTTGTCAAACGTGCATTTCTATGAGTGATCATAGTTACAAACCTGAAAAGCTTGAGGAAATCACGAGCAAGATGTGTGTAAAGAGAGAGCTGTGAGGAAATCAGGAGAGAGTAAAAGGTTGTGCAGGGTAGACTGAGAGAAGTTTTCAACTCTACATTAAATGTTCAGATTCTGTGAATTACTGAGCTTTTTCTTTTGAATTATTGAATTTTATATCCCCCTTGCACGCAGCTTTGGGGCAGCTGAATTCCTCAATGAAATTAAGGTTGAAATAATAATTTCAGACACATGATGTAATTTTGTCAAAACAACAAGATTTCTAAGGAGGTTGCTGCTTTTTATAGCCCTAGAACTACGAGTGTGCTGTTAAACACAGAAAATATTCTGGCAAAAATACTTAATTTTTATGAAAAAATATGAGTTTTTTTTCCCTATTTTTATTTATTTATTTATTTTTTGCTAGGCCACTTTTGCTTGCTTGAAATAAACAGTAAAACCAACATACACAGACTGGTTTCACAGAACACAAGCATATCATATAATTTTGTTTTTCTTTAACTTTTCTGACATCAACACAGTTTATTTTTTCTACTTTACTTCTGAGGAAACTGAACATAGTCTGGAATCCAGTTTTTATTCTTTGAACAAAAAAGAATTTAAAAAATTCAAACTACCCAAAAATTGTTTTGTACTGTACTTAATCTGCTATGAGCTACAAAGCTGTGAATTTTCTAAATGTAATTGGTTCACACATCACAGCAAAACAGTACATATTCAGACCTCAATTCAAGATCATGTGAAAATCAAAGATTTGGGTTGTTGATTATCCCAAGTTAGCATGTTGCTGGTTTAAGAGAGAATATTTATAGAAAAAATAAAACATGAAGAGGAAATCACTAGCAAGATGTGTGTAACACATGAACAAACAAACCTAGCCATCCAGTATGATGGGTGAAGATAACAAGATGATCTGATGTGAAATGCATGACAATTGACCTGGGATTCACTTCAGCAGCTCAAGAGAAAAACATAAAACAATAGTCTTTAGTATTTTTAGATGAGACAGGAGTGGGGTCTTAAGACATAGTAAAGTAAGCAAAGCATCTGAACCTAAAGCTTGAATGATGAGAAACTGTTTAGCCACTGAAAAACCAAAGGTGTAATTTTTTTCAAAAGACCCTCACTAACATGGAGGGAAGTCACATTAAAATAAAAATATTATTCATTAAAGGGATTCAAAGAAAATAATTTTCACGTGTGAAGTCTTGGATATACCTACAGAAATTTGAGCAGGTTTTGTTTGAAATTTTTTCTGCAATAATTATCGTTTTAACTTCAGTACATCTTCTGACACATTGAGTCTGGAAGCTCTATCTTCAAAGAGAATATGTCACACACTTGCACGACAAATGATCATGTTGAAATATTTAGCTTATTCAGCCTTTAATGTGCTTTGGTTGAATTTTTAAAAAGCAAAGATTCCCCAGGTAAGATCACTCCACAGTCCATTTGAACAGGATATAAAATGAGGAGTCAACAGTGTTTAGTCAAATAAAAGGCAGAGATTAAAGAAACTTTGGCAGCCAAGTGTGGGTAATTGATTTATAATTCATCAGCAGTTGTGCTGAGAAGCAGACTCTAGAGACATGGGGCAAATCTCTGTTACAACCTCCTTACTTTCCTCATGAGAATACTTAATACAGGAAGCTCAATTCTCAAAGTGGTTGCTTAAAGCAAAATATTCATGGACACTGCAGCGAGCTGACAGAATTTAAGCAAAACAATGCACTATGATGCAGACCCAGCTTGATTAAATGAAATTGTGCATTTCCCTTAACATCATAGATCACTTTCGCTGCTGTGACAAACTGCCATAAATCTCTTTATGTCCTACCTTGAAAGGTCAGCATTTGGAAAGATAAGTACAGATACACTGTTTTATATCACAATCATAAAATAGAGAAAGCAGAGGCAAGTCCAAAGACAAAATTCCTGGCTAAGCAATAACATTCTGCCCATTAGTGAATAGTTTTTGTTGAGGTTGCAAGAGTGAAACCATAGTAAATGTCACTATAGTCTGATGCTGTACTGTCAAACCCGGTGTGAAATAATTACTGGGTAAAGTGCAGAAATGTAAGCTGTAATGATTGCATGAAAGAATGTCAATAATTATACCATGGAAAAGTTTATGTAGGCCAGCAGGCCAGCTGACTGAGAGATGGAAACATGAAAGCTGGAAATGTTTCAACTGTCAAAAGTCAATTTATGTCTACAAATAGCCAGTTTATAGAACGTAATATTCCAAAGAAATGTATGCTATAATAGATCATATTCCTGACAAGCTACACCACAAAACAAATTATATAGTATGAGTATTGATTCTAACAAAACAAATGATATATAAATATATATGAGTATGGATTTTAATTGTGCTTTGGCAAATTAAATTTAAAAGAAAGGAAATCTGTGTCATCATTATTTTATATTTGTGTCTGTCACTAACATTTGCTTGCTCTGGATGTTTTAACATTTTGCAGAAGCATGGACATTTGTGCATTTAGAGAGGACAGATAATAACTTTGAAAAAGCAGTAAAGTGTCTCACTTTTTGTACAATGTCGATGTAAATAAATCAAATCCACAGTGTTTTTAAGATGCATTTTTTTAAACTACACAGTACGGGGAAACCATCAACTGGGCCAAAGCAAACGTACATATTACGTTTGCTTTGGCAAAAATATGTCTTATGTATCTTTTTTTTTTTTTAAAGAATTGTTAATTTATTAATTAGAATTTTTATCAAAGCACTTTGAGATAACTGAGCTTTTACATGCAGTCAACTCTCATAAAAGCAGCAACTGGAGGAAGTCTGAACCACTCAGTGCATTTAGAGCAGCAGGGATACAATAGTTCAAGAGGGATCAGCAAAGTCACCTTAGCAATACATGTGACTGAGTACTTGCTTGTTTGGGAAACTCATTAATCATTTGTGTGTGATTCAATGGAAAGCAAGATTGCATTTCATAAAAGCAGACCGCATCAATGACATTTGAGTGTCTACAATTCATCTGAAACCTCCCACAATCACCATTTATCAGTTTCACTGACAAAGTCTGGCGCAAATATGCATAGCTTTCAAAAATGATTTTAAAGTTTTCTTTTTGAGCCAAAACAAAAGATTGTAGAATAATGTGGCAGCAGAAGCATTCTCGACTTTTCATATTTAAGTGCTTTTCACTGTTTTGAAGTTGAACAAACGTCCTTTTCCAAAAGTGTCCAGCAGATAGTCAGGATATGTCTTTTGGCACAATTTCACAACATGCTTTTTTTTTTTTTTTTTTTTTTTTTTTTTGACAAGCTTATATACTTATAAAGTTTTGTTTCCTCATTCAACCCAAATTTAATTATTAGTGGCACTTGCACAATTGGGATTTAAATGATGGTTGAATCACCAGCTGTGAACAATTAGGAAATGACGATGATGACCATCAGATAGTGAAATCAAATTCCCAAGGATCATTTTGCTATGTATCTCTTACAGCTGGCCCAAATAACAGCTTAGCTCCAAAAATCTGTAGCATGACAGGACTGCTCCCTTAAAACAGCCATAAACACATGTTGTGGCTTTTGTTATTGACCGAATGATCATGCATGGCTGGTTTCCTAATGTCACAATAAGCATGTGAAATAGCTTTTGGTATTGACAGTATGAATGGAATAACAGATATGGATGTTGTAAAGACCATCTAGCGCTTAATGGCATTGAAAGCATACTCACCCTGTACCAAACAATCTCTCGCAGCCTTCCATCGGTTTTGAAGTTACATTTGAGGGTTACAGTCTCACCAACAACAACAGGAGGCAGTGGCTCTATGGTAACTGTCAAATATCCTGAAAAATACACAAAAGGAATGAAAAAAATTAATTAAATAATGCTGCTAAAACATATTGCCAATATCCTTTTTTTAATTCAAAACTTAATATTTGACTAAGAAAAAAGTATCATTTAAAAAGTTGTCAAATTACTTTCAAAGATAAAATTTATTCTGCTTTATTTTTCTATGTGAAAATTACATCCATCATCCTTGAGCGAATTGTGCATGTAATCAACACACATGGAGCTTAAATTGGTTAGTGAATAGTATGTAAGAAACATTAACTCAGGAAATAAGGTTGTATTTTGCATGACGATGATTCCATCATCATGCTCACCTATGCAAAGAAACACAAGTATATCTCCTAATATATGCTCCAAAGCTTCACACATATTCACCACTCCCATGCAGTGTATTTCTGTTTTCTTACACAAATATCATGTTCATCTGAATAAACATAGTTATATAAAATATTATTTGCTTCAAAGCCATATTTCTGTTTAAAATTACTGGTTTTTTATACCATGGATGTTCCTGTTTGCATTGTTATACAATGTAAAACATTTTCACAAAATTGTTACTGATTAGTTTAACAAATGCAAAATGTAAAGAAAACAAAAGAGGAATATTCCAAAATGATCTTGTTTTTTCAAGTGCTTTTGGTATCCGTTGATTGGAAAATGGGTACCAAATAAATATAATGACATTTTCAGATCTTACCTAAATTATTTATGTTTTACACTGAAAAGTGTGGCTAGTTTCCATGAAAATGTTGCAGAAAAGTTTTGGACAGAAAGACTGGAGTTACAGAAAATCCCCCATTATTTTTACACAAAGATTTTAAATTCCTTAAACTTTCTATCCTTATGTGTTTTTCTTTAAATTGCATATTGGAATGGTCACTAACCACTTATTTCACCCCTAGTTCATCATAAATTGGCACTTAGCAACAAACCATCTGTTTACTCTTTATAGCAACACTTTTTGATCAGCAGGATACTTTCCATCTTATGACCTAAGAGCAGGTGCCCAGTTTGCCAACGCAATCTTTGGAAAATATATGAGCATTTTCCACTGTGAAACAGAAGATACTCTCCCAAATGTTTTCATACATCTGACCAGCTTTCATTTTACCAAAACAAAAATAAAGCTAATAGTTTCACTGACTTTGTAAAAAAAAAAAAAGGCAGCTCTTTCAAATGTTGTTGAGAATAATAACCACTAAAGAGTCACTGGCAAAAAGCTACGAGTTAGTTCCATGAATGCAAGAAAGCACTTCCTGGTCGTCAGTAAATAATTACTTATCAGTACTACGTGTTAACCAACTCGATTAAAAATTAGAAAAGTTTAACGACATGTTCTCATTTGGGTGTATTTCATCTGTCATGCAGACAGTTGGGGGGTCACTGCTGATTTTATTGTGCAAAAAGCAGGGAAAGAAAGTTTTTTTTTTTTTTTATAGTGAATGTGTGTATGCGTGGTTGTACACATGCACACACATCTAACAAAAAGATCCACATAAAACAGATCAGGTGAAATAGAAACAAAACCTTCTTGCTGTCAAATCAAGTTTATTTGTAAAGTACATTTTAGCAACAAAACAGTATAAATTATACTGCATATACAAAACACAATAAACATAAAAAAAGAAACATTGATAGTTTAACAAATGTTAAACTATCAACTAAATGTTGATGGCAAAATAAAGAGCAGTGGAAAAAATCAATAATTATTCATCAAAGGAAACTCTAAACAGGTGGGTTTTAGCCTTGATTTAAAGGATTTCATTGTTTCAACAGTTTTGAGGTTCTCTGGATGCTTTTAGCTTTAGTTGGTAAGATTTGTGTAACAAGTCTTCATTATTCATAGGCTCAAAAATAATTACTTCAGTTTTGTTTTTGTTCATCTTAAGAAAATGGTAGCATATCCACACACTGGCTTGTTCTATGTATCTGCTTAATGTTAGAATGGGTGTGCTGGCTGAGGGGCAACAGTCTTAACCAGTATACCACTGTTCAGCTCTTTGTATAATCAATTATTTAAAAACCAAGCAGAAAAAAAATAATGGCCAACTCTTCTTCATGAAGGTTACTTTACTGTTTGATCATCAGCAATTTGCAAAATAGCTTACACGTTGCCTGAAACCTGCAGATACGGTGTCGTAACCCTAAATATATACAGTTACAATATCTGAAGAAACAGAAGATTAGATCTTGCAAACTGCAGCAGGGGAGTACAAAGGCAATTAACTTGGGATAATAGGTAGACCTGAGAGAAAACAAACATGTCCTAAAAGGAATGCTGTCTGAGCAAAAACCTGGTACAGAAATTTACAAGAACATTGTTCTGTGCACCTAGTCACATCTGAGTGAGTGAGCATCTGAGCTAACATCCTTCTAAAGAAAAGCAATCCTTCATGACATAATGACAGCTTGATACAATTCCACTATTAGATAATATTTTATGTAACAATTAACAATTTCACTTTCCAGAAAACATCTTCTGACCTCTCATGCACCATGAATAGAGGAAACATTATGTCAGAAGTGACCACTTCAATGAGCAGAGAAAAGTGATTTCCACTGAAAAATAAATTGGCACTGTATGGAAAACACAAGACAATGTGTCATTCTCAAAATTACACACAAGCTGCACACAATGCAAACTTGAACAAAACTTCTTGTGAATCTGTGTCAGCATGGCCAAAGGTGAATACATCAGATATTTTTAAATGTATGAAAATATACTTTTGATATTGTTTGAAACAAGCAAATATGGTCGCTCTAACTTAGCATTAAGTGTCAGTAAACTTATGCAAAGCTAGATCCACTCTGTGGTTAATAGGAACAAAAAAAGAATAAAACCCTATAGCGTCGCAGTAACATTCATATTGATTTATCCATGTACATAAAAGGCAAAAAACAACACATTTATGATGTTTGAAGAAACCACCATTAATCTTGTGTCTTGTAAGATATACACAGTGCTGTTTCTGCACCATAAAAATGATGCTGGAGCTTAAACGCTGCACCAAATTAAACGGCTGTTCACTCCTCTGAATGCACCATATACAACAAACCCTCACCAGTGATTGTTTCTTTTAAACCATTTTGCTCTTTTCTTTTTCTTTTCTTAACCCTCTTCTGGCTTTCCCATGAAGTGACCTTTGACAAACATCCACTTTTGAAAAGTACTAGTCTCAACAACCAACTTCACTTCTGTCCACACTTCACACTGGTTTCCTTTTTCACATTCATCATTTTTTGTTGCACAGATCGATTTTTAATCATTTAAACAGATTTATTTACATAATGATTATATGAGCTTTACGTCAATTAGCATAATTGCATAAATTAACTTTGTTGCAAATCCAAATTAAAATGAATAAATGGATGCTTATACTCAATGTGCTTAAATGATCTAATGTCAGCTTTCTACAACCCATTTGAGAAGAAAATTATGTAATTTTCAGTAAGAATAACACTTTCAATTTTAGTAAAATTCTAGTAAGTAATTAGGAGACTGGCTGGAAGCTGGAATTTTTTTAAGATACGAGCAGCATCTTCAACAGGTTTGGGGTATCAGCATTAATAGCCAAGCCACAAATCAGCTTGTCTCTCGTGTCCACACACCTAGATTTGCTTATTATAAAATCTTAATTTAATCAGACGACTGAAGAGTTCCTCTCTCCAGAGTCAAATTGAATGGGTAAACCTTTTCGGAAAATGCATATCATTAACATGGGGTTGATGATCTCAGTGAAATCCTCACCACTTATTAAGAACCCAAAAAAGGAGCAGTCGGTTCGATGAATGTCTCTTTGGGAACTATACAGTCATAAGATGCGTTAGCAAGCCAATGACAAAAAAGAAAAAAAAAAGGAAATGCCATCTATCCTCCTGGAACATGATTACTCATCAGTGCAAAATTTTGTTTTTGCCTCCAGAAATGGACACAAGTGTTTGGTTAAGTGGTAAAGCATTTATTGCACGGTCCAGATGGTGGTTTTCTTCTGTGGTTGCAGGAATTAATTTTGGGCAATTTGTTGACTATGTAGCACAGTGTGAAATTATGTATACACAATGACAGAAAAATGCTTCAGAGCCTGTGGTAAAGGATGATGATTTTTTGTGAATTACATGGGTTATACACTTGTGCCAGGGTACTTCAAACCTAAAAGAATCCCTATGATGAACTGGAACAGATACAGTTTGCGTATACACAAACATGAGTATATAATTCATCCAGTATCCATGGAGTGTCATCCAAATAACTACATAAATTAGACACATTTAATTTGCCAGTTCTCTGTTAAAGGTACTCCAACAAGCAATAAGTCTTGTTATGCTGGATACCCCTATTAAAATATTGCCTAGTGTAGGCAATATTTGGATATTTCAGAAGTAAGTATGAATTTATGCCAAGCATAGGAAACAGCAGAGTGCAAATGTTTTATGTAAGTAGCAAGTCACAGGAGTCAGGATTGTTTAGAATGAGCATGGAAGCTTACATTCAGCCCGTTCCAAATGGCACCCAAGAGATAAACATTTAATGTACATTTAAGAGCTTTTCAGTTAAGACATGGCTATGATTCTTTTTTAAATAACAAATATGTTCTTTTTTGTGTTTTCCCACACCATTTAAAGCACTTCAAATAAATGTATTTACATAGCACCAATTCACAACAAATGGTCTCAATGCAATGTCCAAAATAATTAAATCCAAAAAATGGAATTGAATACATTCCAGTTCAATCTTAGTTTTAAAACAATGTCGTCAAGTTTAGGTAATAGTGCTATATGGAAAAACCTATTCTATCCAAGGAAAATTGGGAACAATTACGAGAGCAATCTTGTTGTCTAGAAAAATGAATATTTGAAAGCTTTACTTTGTATGTGAAAACAGAAAGTAAAAGTACATTTTATGAGGAGGAAACCCTCAGTAGGACCTGGCTCACCAGGAGTGGTCATTCAACAGCAGATGTACTCAGTGGGTGGGTGAATGTGAATACATGAA